TCGTTAGACTATAGTTTCTATGCTAGTCAACGACGAGAACTGATCACTAACCTAACAGCACAAATAGATAATAAAGGATAGATATGTAAAAGATCAGAGAAGAATCTAAGACTTGATAAGAAAGACAAAAATCATCACTACCTGCGAGCTCAAAGCAAAACGTGAGGAGCACGCGTAAGAGGTTATGAAAATAAAAAGACAAAATTGATTTGATCTGAGATGAGGATCACAGTATCAGTAAGACTAAGTAAAGAGACTTGTTGAAAAGAGCTGATTCAGGAAGATGAAATAAGAGGGAACTCACTGATTCTTTTCAACACGAAAAGAAGCAGAAAAAGAGAGGAAAAAGAGAAATACAAAATGAGAACTAATAAACCCAAAAGAATCCATCAGTTACCCCTTGGTTCAACTTTCCGCATAACCCCCTTTGTACATCTAACACTCTTCAACGCTAACCACGCATAACATCTCATCTTCTAGTCTAACCACCTCACTTCACTTCCAACTCATCCAATTACCATAAATGAACATTAACCTATTACCTCCAGTAAATAATGATCTTTGACCAAATAACAAGATAGTATCTAATATCTTAACATAAGAAACCGAAGCGATTCCGGCAGTGAGTTTACCAGGGATTCAGTCTCATTATCTGCAAAAGATAGTAAGGATGAGTAGATAGCTAGTCAAACAGTCAACAAAAGATCGAAAGTACCAGGAGAATGGTTTCGAGGTTTCTTTTTAGCACAATTGCTGGGTGTGTAGGGTTTGGACATGTCAAGTGAGCAACTATGACCTTGAAAGAGATGATGTGATAGAAAGTGAAAAGGAACGAATGGATAAGATAAAACAAGAAAGATAAAAAGAAAGAAAGAGAAACGGAAATCACTCTGGTCAACAAGACTGACCAAAGTGTCGAATTAATCAATCACATGACAATTTGGATGATTGATCACGTAACCCCTTGGTCATTGATCTTAACCGTGAGACCTTTGAGAAAATCAGTCATTGATTTTCTCCGTTCTTGCCTCATGAATCAAGTGTTCTGGGGATTGAAGGCAAGAACAGTATTGTCAGCCCTGAGCCCTGATTACACGACCACGGGCTAACAGTTACATATGTAATATTATATTATTGTATAAATCCATAAGTACATCTCACGGCTCAGTGTCAAGAGCCACATAAACACATGTACGTAATGTATTAAATACGTAGCAAACCTAACCCAAGCGCCAACCACAAGTGAGACAAGAATCACACGCCAACCACAAGTTGACGCTTGACCTGTGAATATATAAACCCCCCTTCTTCCCTTGATTCATCCCCCATCTTTTCACACACCACAACATCAGAATCACATTATACTTGAAATCCTATTGAGAGGATCTTTGAGTACGTGATTAGTTGTGTAGTCTAAAAGACCATCTTTGAGCATTACGGGTTCCATTGCTGAACACCCTTGGTATTGATTTCTACGAGCCCTGGGCCATAAACGTCTCTAGAAATAAACCATAAAGCAGTAAAGCTTCCTCCCTCACCAGGAGTCTAAAGTAGCCTCAGGATCTTTGGTTTACCAAAGTGTAAAGCCTGCCCCTCGCAGTCTCACGAGGTTTTAGCGTATTTACGCGTAATAGCCCTTTCCTTCCCCTTTATTCCCTTAAACCCTCTTCTCAGAGGTCAACTAACTGTAGTCTTCACTTGGGTGTACCAATTGAAGACCAG